AGTGACAAATAAAAAATGATGTGTCAAACAATTTAATCTCTACTTTACCAGTTTTTATATGGATAATACACTGTAAGTATAAATGTTTTATTATTTATAATATTTCAAATCATTAATGAATCTTCTGACCTGTTTTATACATGAAAAATGTTTGTGCACATTCATCAAAGTTAAAAAAAACACCAGAGGATGCTAATTATGCCATCTACCTGCTAAAATTGTTAATGTCATGTCAATAATGCCACCTACCAGCGATCTTATAAATCTGAATATCGAATGATTCCATAAGATCTTTCATTCCCAATTATATTTCCGGTTTATTGAAGAAGCCCACTAACACGCATGCAGAAAAAAATTTTTCTTATCAAATTTAATCGAAGTGATAAAATGACATCAGAGCAGTATCAATTCACTTCGACTGAGGAGATGAACAATTTTGAGGGTGGTGACACTGCCATGTTAGTATTTTTTAAATATTTTTCAATATTTATTACAAATTGAAATCCGTCAATTCGGTTAACCTAAAAAAAACCACGTGAGATGATTTTATGTACGAGCAAAATTATAGGGAATTAACCGGGTACGTTAACGCGATCGAAGGCATCAAAGAGTTGAAAACACATCAGAAACGAGTTTTCAAATTTCTTCTTAACAATGGTGCTGGTAAACGGATGAGAGTCTTGCTATGGGCTGGAGACGCTTTGCAATATTAAAGCCAAATTACCATGTACCAGGTAAATTTCTCATACATTAATTTATCATTAAATATTCGTCATCATTTTCATTCCTACATTTTTTTGCAATTAATTTTTTTTTCTCACATCCGTTTATTGCTGATTACAATTTTTTACCTCAGGTTATCGAATTGACGATGGGAACAATTCGTGACATGAACCTGAAATTTCCTCTTCCTCCAGGAAAGGACTACGTCCTGACGGAGTATCACTTCCAAACTGCCAGCACATTGACCTGTCGTGGATTTTATAAAAAGGATGATTCTTATCGGGATTACGAAGAAGTTTCTCTTGGAGAGATCATGACAAAGACTACTCGAATCTGCACTGAAGTGTATATTCGAACACCATTCAAATCAGTCACCACAGCTACAGAAGTTCAAGCTATGGGCTTGACTGTTGATAAGCAGTTCAAGTTATCAGTGGGAATCGTAAGCTACACACCAAATCCAGAAATTGTACCAGGTGTTTGTGTGAAGATTAGAGGAATTCTTGAGAAAAATAAAATGGGAGGTGTGTTTTTGAAAGTCGATGACATGTCATGTATCGAAATTGTGGCTGGTAAGACAATGAGTGTATCAGAGATGAAGAATATTGCCATTTCAGCGACATCAAAACGTCGTTCAG